TGGGGGTTCCTTATTATCATGATAGTATAATGGGCCCCAAAACCCTGTTCTCATTACTAGGGCTCCTATTGGGGACTCGGTGCTTAGACTTCGTAAATAGGTTTATGGCTCAGGGTTTAGGGTTTGGGGTTTGGGGTTTAGGTTTGGGGTTTAGGGTTTCGGGTTTGGGGTTTAGGGTTTAGGGTTTAGGGTTTCGGGTTTGGGGTTTGGATTTAGGAGTGCCCTAATTGGAGGTTATAAGTAAATATAGCTGTAGATACCTTGTCCATAACCCTAATTACTAGATCTCAGCATCCTCCGAGTGACTCCAAAACCCCGCCACTAAGGAACTTCTCCTTCGTTCCGAGGAAGGGATAAACCTTCAAGGTCACCTGGAGGAGTATACCTTAAAGTTCATTCGGGGAACATATCATAAAGCTCAGACGAAGGACTATACTGAAGTTCACTCCTATTTTTGAATACACCAAATATAAGTCATATTGAGGACTACTTTTTGATTCTTATCCCTAAACCCTAAGCCCTGAAGCCTAAACCTGCATGGCTTCCGCTGCATTGCTTAGCGAGGGGTTCCCCCCAGCTCAGGGTCTTCAGGCGTTAAGGGTTCCAGGATTTAGGGCTTTGGGTCTAGAGTTTAGAGTTCCAGGATTTAGGGTTTAGGGTCTGGAGCTTAAAGTTCCAGGATTTAGGGTTTAGATTGAGGGTTTAGGGTCTAGAGTTCAGAGTGTTTAGGGCCTGCGGGTTCCAGGATTTCGGATTTGGGTTTAGGGTTTAGAGTTTAGTGTTCTAGGGATTCAAGGTTTAGGCTCTACCGATTCTAGGAGCTGAAAATGAGGGCTCAGGGTTCTAGGATGTCAGGGCTCAGATTTGAGGGTTCAGGATGTAAGGGTTCAGGGATTTGGAGCTTTGGGTTTCAGGGTTCAAGGTTTTAGGGTTTAGGGTTTAGGTTTTAGCGTCTAGAGTTTAGGTTTTAGGGTTTAGGGTGAACGGTTTAGGTTCTAGGGTTTAGAGCTTTAAGGCCTTAGTGCTTTCGGGCTTCAGTGCTTTATGACTGGAAAGAGCCAAGGAAGGGCTACAGATAGACTATCAGAAAGCAATGACGGGGTTTAGGGCTTATGGTGTAGGGTTTAGGGTTTAGGGTAGCAATGACGGGGCTTTGAAGGGGTCGACAAGGTGTATAGGGTGATAGAAACTCTTGGAAGGATTCAAGAGGCTTTACAAAGGGATCTGAAGGTTTGATCTGGGTTGTAGGCTGTTTTACAATTTGTGCATGAGGTTTCGAGACCACTCTCCGTTTCATACAGAGTCCTGTACTGGGAACCATACGAAACAGAAGGCAAAAAATCCAAGCCCCGGCAAAGGATGTTGGGGGCTGCTCTGAACTGGCCTTGAATACAGTCTTTACTGTTCAAGGTGACTCAAGGTGCTTGAAAACGTAAACCTATATTACGACAAAAGCCACATAAAGTACTGATTCAAACTTGCAGCGAGCAGCACATGATGCTACGGAGTTGCAATCAATAGTCTGCAACTGTCTGTGGAGGAAATACTCGCGGCTACTCGTGTCTAGAATCTAGAACCGTACAGGTTAGCCCTGCTTGCGTATGCAGCAAAAAACTGGGTATGGGTCTCACGATATCCGCTGATACATGGTGCAACATGATACGGCCTGACCATACCCTGATATAGTCTTAGTCAGGTCCCAGAAACATATGACATAGCAGCATATCAACACACTAAAGCCTTTACACTAAGTACCTCGCTCCGGGCTTTGTGCTAGGTCAACGGGAACTTGGAGTGTAGGTTTGCTAACAGCCGCTAAACCCTGACAACAACCGCTCTAAACCTTATAGGGTTTAGGGTTTAGGGTTTAGGGTATAGGGTTTAGGGTATAGGATTTAGGGTTTAGGGCTATTAAGCCCCAAACCCGAAACACCTAAACCTGAGCAGCCAGTTGGAACTGCGAGTGCATGACCATGCAGGCTTTTGGCAGATCAAGGGGGTCCCATCCCCGTTGTGCTGGATTGAAATTGGTGGTGTTACCTTTGATGTATCCATGGCTTTGCTGTAAGACTTTGGAAATGAGACATTCAGGGCCGACCTCGGACGAGGCTTAGGCAACCTGATTTCTTTCAGCTAGCCTTGCTCTGCCGGGCCTGTAACTCGACAATTGAATTTGTAACTTTAGGGTTTAGGGTTTAGGGCTTGGGGTCCCAGGGACTGCGGAAACCTGACATGAAGTCGTTTCAACCCAATCCCAACTACGAGGCCCGCACATCTTTCCGACGCCGGTACACTGCAGAGCATACTGCTTCACCTGGACCGGAGCTGTTACACTAAACCCCACACTGCATGTTGAACTTCTGGACCCTAAACCCTAATCGCAAATCCCAAGCGAGATGCAGAAACCAAAACCAAGGTTTCGCGCTTTAAGTTTTAGAGCTTAGAGTTTAGAGGTTAGGGCTCTGGGGTGTTGGGTTCAGGGCATTTCTCAGCACCGACTCCCCAAACGAGTGCCTCCGGTGAGCGAGCGCTGCTCTCGTCGTCCTCCTCCACAGCTATGGATGCTCCTGAGGCCACCTCCCAGACTTCGTTCAGGGAGGGAGTTGAGAGCTTCAGGTTGTGGGTTTTGGGGTTCCGGGTTTAGGGTTCAGGGCTCTGGGGTGCAGGGAGCAAGATCCAGCACTTTAGAATGTAAGGCTTCCGGCTTGACGGTTTCAATTTCATAGAACCCCCTGATATCGTGCAAGGCCCACACTTCAAAAACCCCAAAAAGGCCTCACAAGCGATGAGGCCGTCGAAGACCGATGCTGTCTTCGGCTCAAATTCGATGGTGCATCGCACCTAAGGGGTGTTTTGGGTCTCGGGTTTAGGGAGAGTCTCAGGGTCTTAGGGTGTAGCGTGTAGGGTTTGGGTTTAGGGTTTAGGGGTTTAGGGTTTAGGGTCTAGGGTTTTCGGCCTGGGGTTCAGGGAGAATGGTCGTCCAAGCTTCTGCGGCGTTTGTCTGAGGGGGAGATGATGGGGTTTTAGCAATGCTAGAGACTTCTATGGGGTTTTGCTGGGGTTGTAAAGGGCTTTAGTTCGACTTGAGGCTTCAGGGTTGAGCGTGGTTGGAGTAAATGCTTCAGGGTCTATTAAGGTTCAGGGCTTCAGGGCCTAGGGTGCTGCTATGCATGTGCATGACATTCCGTTTTAACATAGGGGCCTTAACAATTACACTAGGGTTTTGGGGCCCACCATACTGTAATTATAGTGAGGAACCCCCAAAATGGTATTGGTAATTTTTTAAGCCCCTACATTATTCTTGTTACTCATCTTGCACTTTGGGCATTAGCCCCGTTCTCGTGGCTACTGTGAGCATTACCTTCTTACTGCTACCGGCAATACCGACTTTCAGTCCTCACTATGGTTACTGGGCTCCCTAAACCCTAAACCCTAAACCCTAAACCCTAAACCCTAAACCCCTAAACCCTAAATTCACTATGGTTGCTGGGCTCATGATTTAGGGTCTGGGATATGCGTTGGGCACATGAGGGCCTCGGGTTCGGACTCCACGGAGGAGATTGGGGGCTTGCACAACAAGGGTTTAGGGTTTAGGGTTTAGGGTTTAGGGTTTAGGGTTTAGGGTTTAGGGTTTAGAGTTTAGGGTGTAGAGTTTAGGGTTTAGGGTCACAAGACCATGAAACCCCCAAACGCTGGACCCTAAATCCCATAATCCCGCACCCCGAATTACCAAACCCCGAACCTCCTAAAGCCTCCACTACAACGCTGGGAACCTTGTACCCGATGCCCCAACCACCCATAAACCCTAAACCCTGAACCCCTAAACCCTGAACCCTAAATCCCATCAACCTTGACCTCCCGAACCCCTGAACCCTAAAACTCTGCTAACTCCTTACTCCTTGACCCAAACTACCTAAACCGAGAACACCGAGCCCTGAACCTCTGTGTGCATACAAACCCTGAACTCGAAACCCTATACCTCGGTGTGTGTGTGTATAAAAACAAATAAATAAATATATATCTATATATATACATACATACATACATACATACATACATACATACATACATACATACATACATACATACATACCCTACGGAAAACCCTGACAAACTTCCTACTGACCTCACCCTGAACCCTGAAACGCCAAATCCCCAAACCCTAACCCGTAAACCCTCCAAAACCTAAACCCCTAAACCGTAAACCCTAAAACCCTAAGACCCTGAAGCCCTAAAGCCCTAAAACAGCCCCTAAAGGAACCCTTCAAGGAACCCCTGAAGGAACCCCTAAAGAAACCCCTGAAGAAATCCCGAAAGGGACCCCTAAAGGAAACCTCAACGGCAAATGAAGGAATGTACCTTAAATCATATTAGGGATCCTGTTATCATGTGGGGTATATTCCTTAATTAAGCAGTTTTGGCCTCTCTGGGAACCCTAAACCCTAAACCCTAAACCCTAAACCTAACCCCTAAACCCTTAAGGGCAAATCTGCTCTGAGGACCGGGACCGACTGGCCAACCTCCACGGCTGCGGCCGGGCACCGCACGGTAAAGGGAGGCCTGGACCAAAATAGTATTGGACATGATTTAGGCTTCTGTAT